TTGAACGTTAATTCCCTTTTAATGCAAGTATTAAAATGACTGCTTATATCATATTAATTCGTTCATATTAATGTAATCACCTACTTCATTAGTCACCACTGTTCCTTCATCAGCGACTGAACCCTCACGCTGTGATTCCCGACTCCTGAGTGCTTCATGTTTTGCTCATGAGCTGCAGATCACAGATTTAAAAGTTGATAGAACGTCTTTACATTTCATTTTTCCAGTTCATCACAGTCAGGTCTTTCTAATAATGAGCTATGAATGATGCACACGCTGATCATTTGCATCAACCTGGAAGCAGCTTCACATATCTGTGTTAGCTGACTGTCGTCCTCAAATTAATTCATCCCCTTCCATTAAAGAAAAGGCAGAATTCACAATAGTCACTCGATTAATTAGAAACTGAAAAAAGTAATAATAAATAAAAATTTGCTAAATTATAATTTAGTGAAATGAGACATTGCTTTTGAATTGTGGTTGAAAAGAATAATTTTTAAAAAACAAACAAAACCAGAAAAATTAGAGCACTTTGCTTATGAGCTTGTAAATATTTCTGTTGAACCACACTTCAAAAGCAATGTCGTGATTTTCACTAATTTTTTATTTATTATTACTTTTGTCAATTTCTACTTATTTCAATGACAGATGTTTTAATGGGAGGCTATGAATACATCTGAGGACGACTGTATATCAGTCACTGCGTTTCTACTTATTTGACGTGATTTCCTACAACCAAAAAAAAAAAAAGTCTTTAATGATTCTTTTCTCTTTCTGTCTGCCAGGTGGGCCTGACTTTGATCGACCCATCGGAGGAGGGATGCCTCGACTATTTTAAAATGGATTCATGGGTAACTTTAGAACTTTCCTTTCCTTTTTTTTTTTACTCTTGTAAAAGCCAATAAAAAAAGAGAATATGAAAGTTGTCCATTGGTCTTTGAAACTGAATTTTACTTAAAAACAAGCACCCTACTATTCAACTTTTGATGTACTTACTGCGAGGTGCTACAGTTTGGAATCATTTGACATATTGCACAGGTTCTCTCTGCACTCCCTGCTGTTGGGATGCTGCAGTTACAAATACCAAGAAGGGCTAGCAACACCACGGTTGGGGAAAGTCTTTATCGTGACAACTTCTAGACAACAAAAGCAAAGAACCGATAGCTGCCAACCCTCTGGAACATCTGGCAGACTGTGTTCCTGTAACAGACCCCAGCATGTCATTGTGACTGTAAATCACGGAATCAGCAGGAGTTTAACGATGATGTTCTTCTGTTCTTCTCTGCTCTGTTTCAACTCCAAGACCGAGTACGCAAGCCTGACTGACCCGGTCGACCTAGTGATGCTCAACAACACCAAGGTAACGTAACAAGACAGTGGACACGAATGCAAATGCATCTAAATGCATATCTACGGTGGCCGATGGGGGCAGATGACGAACGCGTACACAAACGAGCTGCATATACATGAATGTGTTGCATAAACAGAAAAGTGCTGCGAAAACAAAATGCAACACAACAGAAGTACCCCAGGCCTCTAGGGGCAGTTTATAAGTCTTTGGCTTTTCAGTCTCTGTGATTCTATGGGTGCTGAGCAGAGACGGAAAAAGTACTCACATTCTCTACTAAAGTAGAGAGTAGAGATACTTGTGTAAAAATAGAAGTACTGATTCAGCTCCGTTACTCAAATAAAAGTAAAAAAGTACAGGTTCAGAAAGTTACTTAAGTCCATCCATCCATCATCTATACACCACTGAATCCTCACTAGGGTCATGGGGGGCTGGAGTCTGTCCCAGCTGACTCAGGGTGAAGGCAGGTTCACCTGGACAGGTAACCAGTCTATCACAGGGCTACACTTAGAGACAGACAACCAAGCACACTCACATTCACACCTACGGACAATTTACAATCACCAATTAACCTCAACATGTTGTTGGAACTTGTGGGAGGAAGCTGGAGAACCTGGAGAGAACCCACGCTGCACGGGGAGAACATGCAAACTCAGAAAGATCCCGGGTGTCCTCACCGGGACGTGAACCGGCGACCTTCTTGCTGCGAGGCGACGGTGCTAACCACCTACTTAAGTACAAAAGTAAAAATTAATTTTTAGCTTCAATGATACACGATGCCTCTTTTGATAACTTTGTTTTAAGCACACAAAATAGGATTGTTTTCATCCTCTAAGAAGCTGCACAGTGCTGCTACAGAGAAGAACAGCATCACTGGACAGTTTTCCACTTCAGCAACATTATGAACATTAAATATTATGATCAACATGGAAACACTCGTCTCTTCAAGACGACCAACATCTTTTATTGAGCCTCAGCAGAAGCTGGTTCTCAAAGTTCTGCCCTTTTGGGTCTGAACATCAGTCCTGCGGTGCTAAAAAGCCTCTGGGACACCGCTGGTAAAGATAAAGACGTTTGATGTTACGTCATGTCGCTATGTCATCATCCATGGATGTTGAAACGAGTAATGAGCCAGTTTTGAGAATGTAAGGAGCAGAAAGTCCAGATATTTGTGTTCGAATGTAGGGAGTAAAAGTAGAAAGTCATCAGAAAAGTTAATACTCAAGTGAAGTACAGATACCTGCAAAATCTACTGAAGTACAGTCATGAAGTATTTGTACTTCATTACTTCCCACCTCTGGTGCTGAGACGGTGCTTTCCGACCGTCTCCCTGTGTCCTCTCTGTTATTTCTGTTTATCCATGGAGACGAGAGAATCAAAACCTTTCCAAACAGCCTTTCCCTCAACTAACGTTCGGTGTCTCGCTCACCGTTGTCTGCCTCTCAGGTGAATAGCTCACTACTGCCCCTAGAGGCCTGGGGCACCTCCGCTGTGTTGCGTTTCCTTTTTGCACCGCGTTTCTGTTCATGCACGTCATTTGCCCCCGTCGGCCACCGTCCACATCGGACCGACTTGCGTTTGACTAAATGTGCACATGTCCTCTTCTTGTTTCAGGACATCATGGAATGTTCTGTGGAGAGGGCGTACCTACAGAGTTTAAGCAGAACCAAAAATCTAAATTTATTCTACATACTGAAGCACTGCTTCGACAGATCAGTGAGTGAACAGCAGCAGCTTTTACTGTCATGTTCTTCATGTTGGTCTCACTTTTATTCCTGCATTGTTGTTGTTTTTCTTCTTTTTGCTTAAGCTAAGCAATCCGATCGGCCTGTTTTTTTTCCACAGAACGTTTCAGGGATAAGTGAAAAGTGTCGAGGGGAAACTTCAGAGGAGATCCTGTTCTATCACTTCATGTGCTGGACGGCCAAAGCAGTAGAAATCGACGTGCCTCCCGACTACTGCAGCGACTACGGTGAGTACGTGTGTTGTTGTTGTTGTTGTCCGTGGTGTGTGTGTGTGTGTGTAGGTGTGTTAAATGTGGCTGCTGTTGTGTCTACCAGCGTCCACATGTCAGAGCTTGTGTCCAAAAGCACATCTGCTTTTCCTCTTGTGTTCGTTCACTGAATGATGTAACTATGAGTAGTTTGTCTAATTCATGACCTTTCCTGATTTGCTGTTCTTCAGGGACTTTATGCAGCATCTATGCAGAGATTTCATTCCCCATCACCGTTGGTAAGTCACTGCTTTTATTTAGAAATGCAGAAGAAGTGCATGTTGACAGTGTGCATTTCATCTGCTGGAGATCGTGCTTGCTGGTGTGCAACAGCAGTTTACCGTCTCTTCCTCCCGCTTAATCCAATAAAACTAAATATATGTATACTGATTGTAGCTGCTGCAGCTTTGGAAATCAGTTTTTCATGCTTGCATTAGATGCATCTGCACAAAAATCTTACTTTGTCCTGTGCACTCTGTCTCTCTACCGCACGAATATTAACATTTAAAGGTACAGGAAACTCCATTCAGGTTCCTCTTTATGTACATCTGCATTAGAGGCTATTTGCTCGACATTTAAATAAGCAACAAGGAGTTCATGTGGCTTTTCTCACAGAGGTTCAACATATTTTGATTCCTTATAAACTGGGGATAATATCACTGTTTATCATTAAAGTCTGATGAAATGCTTCGGCCCAAAAACATGAACACTGACACCCTAAAAGTTTACTGAAAATGTCGCATAGAAAAAAATACTTTACATAAAAGTCGTCTGTATTTGAAAAGCACTGGAGCTGTCTGCACCTGCCAGAGGCCCTCCACAACAAGACGAGACATAAAAATATGTTA